GTGGTGAATAGTGTTCAAATCATACAGATTTGGTGCTTATATAGTAATCAATCAAAAATGCAGCTTAGAGATTGCGACTGATCTGACCTACTGCTCAGATTTGGTGCTTATTATAGGCTTAGTATTGCTGGTTGTTCTCACAATTAAATTTGCAAAATAAAAAAAAAAGAAAAGAAAGAAGTCCTCTTGTATTTACTTTTTTAACTACAAATTCCCAGAATTTGAATCTTAACATTTGCTAATGCAGGCTGAGATAACTTCTGCAGTAATTTGTCTCATGTTGGAGTTCTCCTTTTCCACCTTTGGTTCTTATACCATTTGGAAATTGTCATGTCTCTAAAGTTTTTCTGCTTATTTTTATGTGATTCCACTTTTACAATCCTATCTCCATTAAAAATTGTGGTTATTTTATCTTTGCCATGTTGTCATAGAATTGCATGGCATTCAAAAATTTATCCTAGAACATTGATTTGTAGGTTCAAAACTATTAGGGATTCTGAACTAGGGAGAGGAAGAAGAGCATTGAGAGGAGAAACATAATCTTGAGTAAAAGACCCGAGCATCACATCAGAGTCCTTACTTATATAAGCATGCCTGTGTATTCTTCCAATTTTTTTCCACAAGGATAAATCAGACAGTTAATCTTCAAGCTGATATCATTTCTTATAATGCAAACTTTGGATGAAAACCATCAAAACTCAGTACATCCAACCAAGATTGGATGAAATTTCTTTTTGGTGGAGTACTATGAGATAAATGAAAAAGAGAGTTATCGCTCCTTTATAGGCACATAGAATTACAACATATATAGGATACCTTCGTATTATGTAAAACGATGCTTTCTATAGCATAAATCAGTGCAAGCTACCAAAACAGTTTTCTCCAGGACAAAAATTTTCTTGCTCTTTTATTTTCAGATCTAAAGTTTGACTGCTTAATATGATGTGCCTGTCTTTTACTTTGTAGGTGGAGATTTACCCTCTTAGAATACATTTGACAGAGACAATGTACAGAATGATGTGGGAGTATTTCTTCCCAGAAGAAGAGCAAGATTCACAACGGCGACAGGTAGTCAGAGGCTTCAATTCCTTCAAACTTTTGAATGGATTTAATGCTAGCCAAGACAACCGGCACCTGTAGTTTTCTGCAGGCATGGTGAATGATTTTTATTTCCTCTGTGACATTCAGGAAGTCTGGAAAGTTTCGACAACAGCTGGGGCAAGACGTGTAAAGAAAGGCTCATCTGCCCATGAAGCTTCTGGATCAGGTGGCCATTCGATGAAAGAGTTCGAGGGCTCATTTAAATCTTATGTAGCACCTTCTACCTCTGCTAATATTCAGTCATCCATTCATGTAGATTCCATTCAAGTGAGTTTCTGGACGATTTTTGTCAACATGATTCTTTATCTTATATATTATTACAATGCATTTGGTTAGATGCTTTTTTATTATGTCTACATTTGTCAATTCGTAGTTTTCATTAGAAATTTTCTAATCTATTTGCAGTCATCAAAGCTGCAGAACCTGAAGTCTAACGTTGTTTGCGGCTCAGGCCCGGAGTTAAGAAGAACATCTTCTTTTGATAGGACATGGGAGGAGACTGTGGCAGAGTCTGTTGCAACTGAACTTGTCTTACAGGCTCACTCTTCTAGTATTTCTTCATCAAAAAGTGATCCTCTTAGTTCTATTGACCAAGGAGATGAATCCTCAAAAAATAAATCAAAAGAATCTAAAGTAGTAAAATCTGGCCGCTCTTCTCATGAAGAAAAGAAGGTTGGGAAATCACAGGAAGATAAAAGATCTAGGCCTCGAAAGATGATGGAGTTTCACAATATTAAGATAAGTCAGGTTGGTCTAGCTGATTTATGATTGTTCTATAATTTTATATTGTGGTTGGTCTCCAAAACTAAATCTTTTATATTATTCTGCTAAGGTCGAGCTACTAGTTACTTATGAAGGGTCAAGATTTGTTGTGAATGATCTTAAATTGCTGATGGATACATTCCACCGTGTTGAGTTTACTGGGACTTGGAGGAGACTCTTCTCTAGAGTTAAGAAACATATAATCTGGGGAGTTCTGAAGTCTGTGACTGGGATGCAGGTAAGGAATTTTCATTGATACACCTCTGCTTCAATCATTTATCTGGAATCTAATTCAATCCTTAAGGCACATTTTCATGTTGACTGACAATCAATTGTACTAAAGTTGCAAAAGAAAATTTACTTCTGTTTCCTGGACTATCATCTCGGATTCACAAAGCTTAAAATATCTGATAATTAATGAATAAATTATTTGCTGAAAGAAACAAATGGTTAGTCTAGCCCAAAAAAATATTGACTAGTTTTCACCGATGAAGATAAATAATAATAAAATTTCCAAACTTAGAACTGCAAAATCTTTCTTCCTAAGTTGGCAAGTGACATCATGCCCAATTTTTTTTTTCTTTTTGAAATAAAAAATATGTAACATCATACTCAATTGAGTGGTTCTTTTTTCTTTTTTTTCTTCTTTTTTTTTCTTTTTGGGTGGGGGTGGGGGTCTCAAGTTGGCCCTTTAAGAATCATTTTCTTGTGTGGCAGAAGGTTGTATATGTATAGTTTGCAAAGTATTCATACTGTGGTTGAATCTAAGATTTTGGAATTGTTTTGACTTGAGCTTACCATCCGGTTGATCATTTCCCCTACTTTTGCAGGGTAAGAAATTCAAAGATAAAGCCCATAGTCAGCGGGAGTCTCCTGATATTGATCTTGCTTTGAGTGACAATGATCAGCCTGGGAAACCTGATCAATATCCCATAACATTTCTTAAGCGGCCAAGTGATGGAGCAGGTGATGGATTTGTCACTTCCATCAGAGGCCTATTCAATACTCAAAGGCACAAGGCTAAA